ATAAGATTTTAATTTCAGGGGCGCCGGTGTGTCTTGAAAGACTGCTGCAAAATTCTTGACAATACAGTATTACCTCCAGAAACTGTGGTCCCACCATTCACCGTCTTCTCAGGCTGCCCAGGTAATGTTGATGTCAATGTCTGTTTCAGCCTCCTTCAAACTCTTTTCCATTACTAAAGTAATCCATGTGACTTCTAACTCTGATATGTGATTTAGCAACAAAACACCTAGAAAAGTCATATAAATAAGTTGCTTTTGGTACAGGTAGTATTTGTTTTTTTGTGATGGGGTCTCACTATGTAGCCTTGGCCGGTCTGGAATTCACTATGTAGACTAGGCTGCCCTTGAACTCAAAGAGATCTGCCTGCATGTGCCTTCTGATGCTGAGATAAAAGGCGTGCATCACCACACCCAGTGAACAAGCTGTGTTTGGAATGAATAACTGGATTTACAAGGAAAAAAGGAAATTATCAGAAACAAAAAGGAAATGAAACGCAAGCTAGAAGACAGCAGGTGTTAAATGCTGACCTCATAGTAGAGTGATTTAAAATGTGGTACCTGTGGGATAGGAGAAAGCCTTAGATCCACACATGGCAGAGAGATTCTCAAATACCTTTCAAGGGTTTCCCCTCAAGAAGGTTGCTATAGGGACTGGAGAGGTGGCTCAGTGGTTAAGAGCACTGGATGCTCTTCCACAGGACCTGGGTTCAATTCCCAGCACTCACATGGCAGCTCAACTTTAACTCCAGTTCCAGGGGATTCACCTACCTTTTCTAGCCTCTGCAATCTCCAGGCACACACAAGGTAAACAGACGTACATTCAGGCAAAACACCCATACACATAAAAATAAATAAATAACATTGAAGAAAAAAGGGTTGCTATGGAACAAATCTGCCATCAGCACATGGTAAGGACAAAGAAGCATTTCTTTCTTGGCCTGGGCTCTGACTGGACAAAGGGGAAATAAAAAAAAATCTCTTCAGAGATACGTGTGCCTCATCTTTTTAACTTATTCAAGTTCCTTAGTACTAACTTCTTATGGTCATGGAACATTAATGTCAGAAGACAAGGAACCATCCTGGTATTTCAGGTGGAAATCATAATGACTACTTTTGAAAAGGCCAGCTGCATGGGACCATCCAGGTCTCTGTATATGAGGGAACTGAGACTGGAAGGTGCGCGTCTCCAGTGTCAAAGACCCCTCATTTAGAGCCCAAAGCTTCTTGTACCATGACGGGGTGTTTCTTTTGAGTAGTTTCAAAAATAAATGCCAGGCATTAGGGTGCTTTATTGGCACATCCATCTTTGAATTCAGACATGTGGGCTTGCAGGGAATCTGACACATTTGTGAGAGCTACATGAGATAAAATTGAGCCTGGAGCAAAAAGAAATGGAAAGCAGGATAAACCCTGATCAAAAGCCACGAGCGCTGATGCTACTGTAGACAGGCAGATAATGCACTAATTGAAGTCATAGCCCATCATGGCTGCTGGACATGGCACTGGAAGCTTGAAAGCTGATGTTTAAGGAACAGCTACAAATGGGAATTTTATTGGGTATCTCTGAATTTTAAAATTGTCTAATTATTACTGTGATTAAAGATTAAATACTGTGAAGTTTAAGGGCTAGAGAGACGGCTAAGCTGTTAAGAGTACTTGTTTCTCTTGCAGAGGATCTGGGTTTGATTCTAAGCACCCACATAACTCACAGCCATCCATAAATCCACTTCCAGGGGATCCAAAGCCCTCTTCTGACTTCTTGGGCACCAGGCATGCACATGGTACACAAACATACATGCAGGCAAAATATCCATACACATTAAAAAAAATTTGAGCCAGTTGTGGTAGCACGTGTCTTTAGTTCCAACACTCAGGAGGCAGAGGCAGGCAGATCTCTATGAGTTTGGGGCCAGCCTGGTCTACATGGTGAGTTCCAGGACAGCCAGGACTACATAAAAACCCTGGCTCAAACAAACAAAACAAAACAAAAATACTGTGAAGTTTAAACATATTTGTAGGCCTAACATGCACTTTTTAATTATAGAGTGTCTATGAGAATTTTATGAGTTTTTTTTGTTTTTTATTTGTTTTATATATACTTAATACATTTTGTATAAATGTATGAAATATGTGCACTTATATGTTTGAATGGAAAATATAGGTATTTGAAACGGCACCTATATAAATGAAATCAAGCTATTAACTCTGTACTGTTCAGAAACTATCAGTTATTTAGCAATATACCTTGGGCAGCTTTTCAGGTGGTATATAGAGAACTATATCATTCCTCTCAAGGGTTACAGGTTTCACACACTGCATAGGTAGATTTAACACAAAGCATTGAATTAGTCCCATAGTATAATGGGTCATTAGCATTTAGTTGTACCTGGGCACTATTAGAAACTTCTTTCTTGACACTCTTTTACATGTATTATGCAATTGGGCAGTTATCTCTGGCATACATTCTTAGAAGCCGACTTATGGACCACAGGATATGAATGTTGAAAACTTTGCTGGCTATTTTTATTTTATGTGTATGTGTCTTTGCCTGCATATATCTATGCATAACATACATACAGCACCCAGGCCTGGAGTTACAGGTGGTTGTTAGCTGCCATGTGGGTACTGGGACCTAAACTTGGACTTCTGCAAGAACAGTCAATGTTCTTAGCTGCCAAGCTGCATCTCTCTAGCCCTTTGCTAGCTATTTTTAAAGTGTCCCTCAAAACATCTGCATGATAGGGCTGGAGAGATGGCTGATCAGTTAAGAGCACTGGCTATTCTTCCAGAGGACCCAAGTTCAATTCCCAGCACCCACATGGCAGCTCACAATTGTCTGTAACTCCAGTTCCAGGGGATCTAACACTCTTACACAGAAGGATGTATGCAAAACACCAATGCACATCAAAACAAAACAAAAAAACTACAGGGTAAGTTCAAGGACATCACTGAGGAACCCTCTCAAACCAAAAAAACAAACAAACAAACAAAATCTGCGTGAGTGGAGATGGTAGCACAGAGTACTACCACTGTTTCAGAAACTGTTTTTTCTTTTTGTTGTCGTTTTTCTAGGCAGGGTTTCCCTGTATAGCCCTGGCTATCCTGGAACTCATTGTGTAGACCAGGCTGGCCTTGAACTCAGAGATCTGCCTGCCTCTGCCTCCTCAGTGCTAGGACTAAAGGTGTGTGCCACCACTCCCGGTTTAGGAGTGAAATTTTTTTTTTTTTTTTTTGTCAGCACATCCTTAAAGTATATAGGTTGATTTAATTCTGTAAGGAGTGAAATTTTTAACCATGCTTGTTCCATCATGGACTGTTTGTTGTCCTCCTTTGATTCAACTGCACCTAGTATCGTTGCTTTGGTTTTATTGTGCTGGACTGAGTTTCACTGTAGGAACGCAGGACAGTTCTTGCCTCAGGGATAAGGGTAAGACTGGCTCAGTGGGGCTCACAGTGGAATCCTGGGGGTGGAAACCCTTTTGTGGAATGATGCTCAGAGCAGTCCCCTGTGCCTTTTCTCTTTTTTATCTTGTAAGCGTGTTCTGACCTCCTCCCCCTGGAATTTGTTTCTTCATTTGGAGAGCTGTAGTGTGTGTTTCCCAAACACAAACTCAGACCTTTCAGAAGATGTCAGTAGCCAACAGTCTTATCAGTCTGAAGATGAAGGGCCTCACGGTTAGATCCTCACAGTAGATCTCAGAAATTGTAAGCTTTTCACAAAGGGTAGGGCTACAGACCTCCTGGTTCCCTTGCTTGACCTGGTCTCTCTTTCCCCAGGACTCTTCTCAGGGGAGCTCCCAGAGTGCACACAGGAGCTGATGATTGATGTCACCAAGAGCTACTACCAGAAGTTTCTGCCCCTAACACAAGTCTAATCTCTGCTTTATATATTGAATTCTTTTGAACTCTACTAGGATGAACTTGGAGATAAAGTGAGTGGTCAGTAACTACAAGAGCTACCATGTTTTTGATGACTTCTACTCTCCTTGATTTTTTTTTTTAATTTAGAATTTTTCAATACTCGAAGGCTCTGAGCATTTAAGAATTTAATAAGAAGGCTGGAGAGATAGCTCTGTGGTTAAAAGTACTGGCTGCTCTTCCAGAGGACCCATGTTCAGTTCCCAGCACCCACATGGCACCTTCAATCATCTATAATTCCAGTGATCTGATGGGTCTGGCCTGGGTACCAGATATACATGTGGTATAGACATATATGCAGCCAAACATCCCTTCACATAAAATAATGAACTTTTTTTTAAAGAAGATAATTTTAACAAGGGAACATCTGGAGGAGTTGTCTTTACCTGCTGTGTTTTCACCTAATCTGTCTATAGTCACTGTACCATTGTCGGAGGAGGGCAGAAAGGTCTGTTCCCAACACTCCAGCCCTGTGGTCCTGCAGATGGCTGGAACCTGGCTGGCATGGGCCTGCAGAGCAATAGCACCCTCCCTGCATGGGGTCACATGGCCCAGGTATTGCTCACAACCATGTCCTACCCCCACTGCACACCACCCACACAGATGACATTCAGCTATCCTGCTGTTAACACAGGACCAGTGGCCACAATTTCTCGTACCCTGTGGAAAGTGTTAGTGATTTCAGAGCCCGGGTTTCTATTGGCTGTTACAGTATGGGGGAAAGAGATGGGCTGCGTGACACATACCTGTCTTCCTAGCACCTGTGATGTAGAGGCAGGAGGAGTAAGAGCTACATAGTGAGCTCACATTTGTCTGGTGTGCTCCATGAGACCCTGCTTCAAAACCACGAAAACAAATCAGTAAAAGAAAAAAAAATGCAAAGAGCAGGTGGTAGCTGTTGTTCTTCATTTCAGAGAGACCTTAGCTGTCTTAAGGTGTTAATAAAAGATATAAATATCCTGTTTTAGGCTCGTTTATTTACAGAGGGGAAACCAATACTGCAGATTTTGCTTCTGCAGAGTTCCAGGTTTAGGTCTTGGGTGTGGACAGCTTAGTCAGGTCATTCCTTGTCTCAAGATTTACTTCACTAGAAATGAGCTTTTGTGAACCTTGCTCTCTAGCCTAGAAGCATTTGTCCTACCTTGTATTTGTCAAAACTCCCGTAGTTCAGACCTAAATATCTGTACTTGAGATCAGCCTCACATGTGTCTGAGCAGCTTGTCAAGTCACCATGTGGACACACAGCCTGAGGAAGGGCATTGCCGGTGCCATCTTCCCATCTCCCCTAGCTGATAGCACAGCCCTCCTGGTTCTGTTCTGAATCCTTGGTTTAGGAAGGAAGGGCTTGGTCCACCAGTGCTCTCAGAGACTATGGCAGAACAGTTCAGCTCTAAAGGATAGGACTTAACAGGCCATCTTGACTTACATCTAAGCGTAGTCTAGAAAAACCTATAAGGATTCAGCTCTAATCCAATTCAAAACTGCTTTCTGTTTGTCATTTTTTTTTAATGTTGGTGCATTAAAAGATTGACATTTGGCACACATTTGAAGATGATCACTCTCTACCTCCAGTAATTGCAGCTGCTGTTCCTTAGGATTCACTACACTACCTGAAGCCATGCTACAAGCTTGCTTGCTTTCTTTTTTTTTCTGGTTTTTCGAGACAGGGTTTCTCTGTGTAGTTTTGTGCCTTTCTTGGAACTTGCTTTGGAGACCAGGCTGGCCTCGAACTCACGGAGCTCCACCTGCCTCTGCCTCCCGAGTGCTAGGATTAAAGGCGTGCGCCACTACTGCTCGGCCATGTGCCACCACTGCCCGGCCGCTACAAGCTTTCTGTTCATGGGCTTGTTTTGTTTCTCACACTGATACTGTACGGTGAATATTATTCACATTTAACACATGAAATAAAAACTCAGCTATCGGACAACTTGGTGCCATTTGTACAGTGAAGAACTGGGCTGAGTCAGGAGTCCCCCATGGCTCTCTAGCTTCACAGCCTACACTGGTCAGCTCTGCCCTGTAAAGACAAAATGAGCTTGTCCTTGGAGGCCATCTGCTGTGTGTCTTGTCTGATACCAGCAGTCTGTAATGGTTCTGATTTTTCTTAGTTATATCAAGGTACCTGCTCCAGATTCTTTGTCCTTTGGTGTTACCAAAAAGGTGAACGTTGGAATTGGCAGTTAGATGCTCTCTATGCTAACTTCAGATATTTTCCAGAGCATGCCTGGCAGGTTACCTGTCCAGCTTGTGTTTAAATACCTCCAAAAGGAAGTTGGTTACTTTTTGCAACTGACTCCATTTTGTTGTTAATCAACTGAAGCTAAAAAGTATGTTTGAGAGCTGGGTGGTGGTGGTGCACGCCTTTAATCCCAGCACTCAGGAGGCAGAGCCAGGCAGATCTCTGTAAGTTTGAGGCCAGCCTGGGCTACAGAGTGAGTTCCAGAAAAGGTTCAAAGCTACCCAGAGAAACCCTGTCTCAAAAAACCAAAAAAAAAAAAAAAAAAAAAGCATGTTTGGGTACTATATAGGCTGAAGGCAGGGGGATTGCTGTAAATTTGAGACTATATAGTGAGTTAGAGACTAACCTGGGCTATAAAGCAAGACCTCCAAAATAAAGGGAGAGAGATTATCACCTTACACAATAAATCTCTAGAAAAGACTAGTCTAAGCAGCAACATAGCGTGCAGGTGGGCAAGACACTTCGGATCCTAAAGTGAGCAGCAAGGTAATGGCAGCACCTCGGACAGGTGGAGCCGATTAAACGAGGCACTGTAAACATTAAGGACAGCTTTTGGTGCTTAGGAAGCACTCTCCCAATGGTTCTTACAGGGTCCCATGCAGAGGTGTACCTGCCAGTACACTTTTGCATCTTTTTCACATAGTGGAAAGACCGACTGCCGCTGGCTGCAGCAGAGGCCTTGAGGAATGCCGGACCTCAGCCGAGACAGTTCTCTCACTGTGCTAGTCAGTGATTTATTAGAATGGCTTACAGGCTGTGCTATGGCTAGTCCAACAATGGCTACCTACCAATGGAAGGTCCAAGGATCTAGAAGCTGCTCAGTCTGTGAGGCTGGATGTCTCAGCTGGTCTTCAGTATACACTGGAATCCTGAGGAAGCCAGCTCTAATGCCAGTGAAGGAATGGACTTGCCATCAAAAGTGAGGGCAAGAGCAGGTCAAGAGAGAGAATGCTTCCTTCTTACATGTCCTTTATAGAGGCTTACAGCTGGAGTTTTTGTGTGTCCCACCCAGTCCGCAGCCGCTTAGACCCAAGTAAACACACAGAGGCTTATATTAATTAAAACTGCTTGGCCATTAGCTCAGGCTAACTACTGACTAGCTCTTACACTTAAACTCAGCCCATTTCTGTTAATCTATATGTCGCCATATGTTCTGTGGCTTTACCTGTGTGCCATTACATGTTGCTTCCTGGACGGCAGGTTGACATCTCCTGATTCAGCCTTCCTCTTCCCCAAATTCTCCTTGTCTCCTTATCCCACCTATACTTCCTGTCTGGCTACTGGCCAATTATCGTTTTATTTATCAACCAATCAGAGCAACACATATTTTCCCAGCATACAAAAAGACACCCCCCCCAGAGGCTGCTAGCTGAAGGTATATATAGTCCAGATTAAAGGTGGATCTTCCCACCTCAAAGAAATGGATTAGAAATGGGTCTTCTGGGCTGGAGAGATGGCTCAGTGGTTAAGAGCACTGGCTGTTCTTCCAGAGGTCCTCAGTTCAATTCCCAGCAACCACATGGTGGCTCACAACCATCTGTAATGAGATCTGGCGCCCTCTCCTGGCATGCAGGCAGAACACTATATACCAAATAAATAAATAAATAAATAAGTAAGTAAGTAAGTAAGTAAGTAAATAAGTAAATCTTTTAAAAAAAAAGAAAGAAATGGGTCTTCCCACTTCAGAAGGTTTAATTTAAAAAAATCCCTCACAGGTGTACCTGGCCATTTGGGTTTTAGTTAATTCTAAATGTAATCAAGTTGATAAGCAAGAGTAGCTATCACACTCCCCTAACAGTGCAGAGATACGCAAGTGGCTGGGCTACCTAATGTCATTAGGCATCCTGCTTGTCACCTTTCAAATTTAGACCTAAGGGAGACTGTCAACTTAATTTCCATTTGGGTGACCAAACTTGATGCAACATATCATGCCTTATGTGTGTGTGTGTGTAGACATGGTCTCACTGTGACCTAGGCTAGGAAGGATTTTCTGATATTAAAGAGAACAGACATAAGTAGACAGTAAGCAGCCTTGAACAGACCTCTGTGTTTGCTTTGTTTTTCTTGTACTGCATGTGAGATTTCTCTGTACATTTGGGATGTTACAGATTACAGCTCTAGACTTCTATTATTGTATTCCAGTGGCACTCCAGTTTTAGCCTGGCAGGTCCCAAAGAAAATGCTCAGTGCTTTACACTGTGAGACCTGTGCCCTTTTGGATCAGTGACTGTAGCCAATGGTGTTTGGTCCTGTGATTGACCCTAATGTGAGAATGGGGTCTATTGCCAAATCAAGGTACTGAGAGGACAAAAACAGTCCCTACCGTAACCAGTAGCTACTTTTTAATTGTGTGCTGGTAGTATTTGAGAGTATGCTAACTGTCAAGAGTGTGTATCCTAGGAAAGGCCAGCTGGACTCTGTCTCCACGGTGACTCTCACCCCAGGGACAGCCTGACACTAGGCAATTATAATTCCAGAGAAGAAAAATTCTTTGTTCTTGGAATATTAGAAGAGAAGGTAGACAGGAAAGACCTTTCCAGCTACAGAGAGGAGAGAAAGGAGTTGGGTTTCTGCTGCTGAGAAAGTCAGGCCTTAGTTGGACTTCAGGCTGGATTCTAAGACCAAAGTGTCACAAGGACCTGCCTCTCTCCAGACCCTCTGTCTGTTTTCCTTTGGGATGGTTCTTTTGTTGGTCTGTTTGTCTTTCTTGAGACAGAGTCTCTGTGTAGCCCTGGCTACCATGGAACTCACTATAGACCAGATAGACCAGGCTGGCATCAGCTCCCAGAGATCTGCCTGCCTCTGCCTCCTGAGTCTTGGGATTAAAAGTGTGTGCCACCATGCCTGACTTATTTTCAGATATCATAGTGTGACACACACACATACACACCACCCACACAGCTTTGGTAGAAAGAGCTTCTCTTTGCCGAAAACCCCCTGGGTTTGGTTCTCATTGGTCCAGACCAGAGAGGTATCCAGGCTCAAGTCGTCATTGTAGCTCAGAAGCTGAGATACAGGCACACACATGGATTGAGAGTTAATGACTAGTGGTTGTAGGAAATGACTGAAACTACCACAGAGGGGATAAAAGTGTCTGGACAGGAAAAATCATCAGGCATCTAGTGCAGGCCTCTTCTTTCCCCAGAGCTCTTCACTTTCCCCAGCCTACTCCCCGTACACACTTAACCACTCTCTCATTACTCCTGAAGGGGGATCTGGGCCCAGACTAGGGGCAAAGGGAAATATGCATAGCTCGAGTGGCTGTGGTCAACAAAGAGCCATTTCATAGATGCCTCTGTCTGGAACTGCTTCCTTCTGTCCCCAGCCAGCCATCTAGGTTGTCTAGTTACGTGCCTCCAGTTCTTGAGGAACTAGGAGTAAGCTCCTGGGTTACCCAGCATTTATATAGTAGATGCTTGCCTGAATATGAGCCATACTCTTCCCATCCCTACTCCTGCCCACGTAACTTTCACATTGCAAGGATCCAGGGACTGGGAACAAGGTTGAATGATTGACCTGTAAGGTCCTGTCGACCCATTCTGTTTTACATGGTTATCCAGAGCCTTTGTGGTTGGTTGGGATGGGTAGTGGCTTCTGAATGAGTCACTTATACATCAACCAATTCTCTTAGGACCCAAGGCTATGGTTCCTTTCCTAGTCATTGATACATCTATACTATGGTAGGTTTGAAATTAATCAGACAACAATTTGTTCTACTTAACACATCCTTAGAGTATTAGCCATAATGAAGAAGTCTTGGCAATTAGGGAAGTCTTTCTTGGCATACCACCATGGCCTGTAAGAGCCCAGAGGGTGTTCTCCAGCCTTGTTCTAGCTGGCATCAGCTGCCCTTCTGGACAAACTGGCTTCTATAGGTCAGCCAGTAGCTTTTATGAAGCTATAAGGCTGTTAAAATAGTACTGGCAGTGTTGAGACATGGCTAAGAGTCTAGCTGTTTATAACTGGTCTCAGCCAAATGCCCTGTCACCTTGGACAAGTTGTCCTAAGTCCAGGCTCACTGAGACACAGAAGCCTAGCAACAGCATCGCGCTTCTTATAGCTTGTGTGCTTGTTGCACATTAGCATAGGAAGGTGGGACCCTGACCACAAACGCTATGTAGCAGAAGACAGCACCAGCCACCCGCCTATTCACTTAAATACTTACTGAGCCCACACAGAGAACCAGGCCCTGCACTGGAGATTAACATGCAGCCAGTCTGTTCCTAGGGACCTTACAGCTTAGTCGGGAAAAAGCCGTGAAACAAACTAGAGTTCTCTGGTAGAGGTCTTATTTTGGCAGTAGTCATGGTGACAGGTGGGTGCTGGGGGTGAGCATGTCAGCTCCCACTCTTCTTCAGTCTGTTATCTGACCTCTTGGAATCTCAAATCTCCCATCTATATAGCAAGAAGATGGGTAGGCTGGTTTTGAGGATTTTAGTTCCTTCACACATGGAAAACACTGGTTTTCAGTACCGCATAAACAGCAGCTATGACTATCTTTAGAAAGTGAAAGACCCCGAGTAGAACCTCTGTAGTGCACAGCATTCTGACACATTTTAGATTTAAAATAAGATTAAGCAAATCTTACCTTTATAATCAGACTACCACAAAAAAAAAAAAAAAAAAAAGAGATGGAGGGGGTGGAAATCATTCTTATTCTGCATGGAATGCCAGGCACTCAGCAGAAAACATTTAATCCTTTCAACTGCCAATTAAGTAGGGATTTTCACAACCCGTTTTACAGAGGAGGAAGCTAATTATCAGAGAAGTTGAGTAAATTTGCCCAGTGCCACACACCAGAAAACTGGCTGAACAGAATGAAGGCCAGCTGTTATCTGGATGCAAAGTCCATCTTGTATGCAGTTCTTTCCATGTCCGGGGTGGCAAAAGCAGTTGGCTTAGTGCCAAGCAACTTACCGGTGTGTTCAGAGTTTCCACAGAAGCGGACAGGCAATTGGGCAAGGTGGGTGTCTGGGAAAAGCTGCCAGAGTTGACTTTTTTTTTCTCTAAAGAAAGCCACATTCCTGCACTGTGTGGCCATTCCTTTTACATGTTGTAAATCTTTTTTTTTTTTTCCCCCCCTAATGAAGGCCAAACAGAATACCGCTGCTGGTCAGATTTGGCTCTGGTGACTGGCTAGCACTTTTTCAACCAGCCATCTCTCTATCTCTCTCTCTGACTGTTCTCTATTTATGTGGCTCTGGGCGATGCAACTCAGAACAAGCCAGGAAAATTTCTTGCATTGCGGGTCGGGATATCTGGTGCTTCTTACATTTCACCGTGCATAGGAATCACCTGAAGGTCTTGTTTGACCTGCAGGTCGGGCCTGGGAATTTTCTTTCCCTTGGGGGTAGGGGGTTGGTCTCAGGTAGCTGAGGTTGGCCTAACTCGTAATCTTGAAGTCTTGCCCCTCCTAAGGAGTTCCCGGGTGTTGCAGATACTGCTGGCCCGAGTTTTTCTGGAGAAAGCTTGAGCTACATACAACTCGCTGGGGCAGCGATTGTCACAGAGAGGGCGGGTCGGCTGCGCTCTGAAGGTGTATCTGCTTGCCAGGCGTTCTGGGTTTGTTCAAGTTTGGGTTTATTTGGTCTAGCCGGCGGGAGGGCAGTCGAGGGCGAAGGTAGTGCAAGGCCAAGCTACCTTTAGGGTCCTAACAGGAGAACCCCCTGGAGGAGACGCAGGTGAACCACATGAGCACTCTCCGGCCGAGGGGCAGAAAGTAGGACCGAATCCTGTCCCCACTGGGGATTTCCGCGTATCCCATTCGTTCCTGTTTTCCCAGGCTATCCCACGTGCATTCCATCCTCAAGTCCCTGCCCCTCAAGTTTCTCGCTTGCAAGATCGGAGGTTTAAAAGCGGCTGCGCCGTAGAGCACTCCCATGGTGCCGCGCGCTGGGCGGGTTTGTATTTTAAATCCCCGCGGCCAATCAGCAACGCGCAGGCCCTTGTAACGTTCCCAGCGCTGCGTTTGAATTTGGGGAGGAGCTGAGCAGGGCAAGATCCTCTGCACCGGCCGGGCCAGGTCCGCGGAGCAAATTTAGGAGTATGAGTGCAGCGGCCAAAGCTGGAAAGCTGGCTCGAGCACCAGCCGACCTCGGGAAAGCCGGGGTCCCGGGAGATGCAGCTCCCGGTGCCCCAGTGACCGCCCCGCTGTCGAAAGAGATTCCGGAGGTCTTAGTGGACCCGCGCAGCCGGCGCCAGTATGTACGGGGCCGCTTTCTGGGTAAAGGAGGCTTTGCCAAGTGCTTCGAGATCTCAGACGCAGACACAAAGGAGGTGTTCGCTGGCAAGATCGTGCCCAAGTCTTTGCTGCTTAAGCCCCACCAGAAGGAGAAGATGTCTATGGAGATCTCCATTCACCGCAGCCTCGCACACCAACATGTCGTAGGCTTCCATGGCTTTTTCGAGGACAGCGACTTTGTGTTTGTGGTTTTGGAGCTCTGTCGCAGGAGGGTGAGTGTTTCTGCTGCGGGGCTGGGGCGCCCACACCGGGAACTAGCTGACAGAGGGGCACCGACGCCTTGGAGTTTCAAGCAATTATGGAAAGGCTTCTATGGCACTCCGAGCTGCTGAAGCCAGGGTTCAGGGCAGGCGGAGCCCGGGACCTGTTGCTGTTAGGGACGGTGGCTCCTGTACGCAAGGCTGTGAGCAGGTGTAGAAAATGGGTGTTTAAAGTAGTTAACAAGGGTCCCAGGCTACGACTGCCGTGGACCTAGAACTTCCGAAGTGGGACAGGATTGGGCGGTCGGAAGGGGTGGGGGGAAGAGAGGCTGTTTGGAGTCAGACCTCAGAGCTTTCAGGAAAAGGAGAGGGTCTCCGCCGGGCGGGGGTGGCCCACACCTTTAATCCCAGCACTTGGGAGGCAGGGACAGGTGGATCTCGGCGGGTTCGAGGCCAGCCTGGTCTACAAAGAGTTTTAGGACAGCTAAGACTGTTACACAGAGAAACCCTATCTCGAAGGAGAGGGTCTCTTGCCGGGAGGAAGCCCCTAGATAGGGTATCGAGAGGGGTTGAGAGAAGACTCTGGGTAAGGGTACGAGTTAACAGGATAGGGTCCTGTGAATGATAATGACCAGTGTATGGGCAGAACCATCAGAATCCTGCCAAGACATAAGAAATATGGGTTAATTTAAGTGGAAGAGTTAGCTAGTAACTAACCTGAGCTGAACATTTATAATTAATATAGCCTCAGAGTGACTGACGATTTGGGGCTTGGTGGTCGGGACAGGAAACTTCTTCCCACACTTTACTCCCTAGGGCCTAGTCCTGGACACATCTAGCTGGCCACCCTTTTCCTTTGGCTTCAGTAACTTCTTCCCTCTTCCTCAGTCCCTCCTGGAGCTGCACAAGAGGAGGAAAGCACTGACCGAGCCTGAGGCTCGCTACTACCTGCGGCAGATCGTCCTGGGCTGCCAGTACCTGCACCTAAATCAGGTCATTCACAGGGACCTCAAGCTGGGCAACCTCTTCCTGAACGAGGATCTGGAGGTGAAAATAGGTGAGATGCTGGGCCTGCTGGTGCCTGGTGGTAAGGAGGGGAAATCTGGGAGAATGGGAGCCAGAGAAATGGAAGTTGGGTGGGAAATGAAGGTGCTGTCCTCCAGAAAGCCCTCTAGCCCAGAAATGGAAAGTGAGGGGCCCACAAACCAGCGTCTTGCCTGTAGATGCATTGTTTTTTGTTTTTGTTGTCTTGTGTACCTCAATACAGTAGTTTTGAAAATAAGTTTCCTTGGGGGTGCCTCCCCCCAAATACCTTATCTCATAGAACTGAGCCAGGTCCTCAGTGGTCAGTTTCCTTTTGAAACTGGAGGTCTGGACGTATGCTGTGGAGCAAGGCGGCAGCCTTCCCTCAGCAGTCTCCTGAGCTGAAAAGCACCTGTCCCCTTGAGACTCCGGTTTGCCTCTGCCTCTGTACCGCTGTCACTCTTCTGAAACCTGTCCATCGGCACTCAGGAAGAGTGTGTACTTGATTCCCTAGGGCGTCCAGTTCTGCCATCCTGTGTGTTTTACATTTCCTTGGTGTGGGAGGTGGGGATAGAAGGTAACTTTGGAGAGTCAGTTCTCTCCTTCCACTGTGTGGGTCCCAGGGTCAACTCCAGCCTTAGAGACAAGCACCTTCACCTACTGAGCCCTCTTAGCACCCTAGCCCTGCTGTCTAAGGATTATAAAGGGCGGGGGGGGGGGGGGGGGGGGGGGCAGCCAGGGCCAGCACAGTGGGGAGGTTCAGGGAACAGAGCCTGCGGAGTCTCAAGGCACTGCTTCTCAATGGTCAGGCCTGAGGCAGCTGTCTGCAACCACAGATAGCCCAGACCTAGCCGCTGAGCACCCTGTCTTCCTTCTGCCCTAGGGGATTTTGGGCTGGCAACCAAAGTGGAATATGAAGGGGAACGAAAGAAGACCTTATGTGGCACTCCTAACTACATAGCTCCCGAGGTGCTGAGCAAGAAGGGACACAGTTTTGAGGTGGATGTGTGGTCCATCGGGTGCATCATGTAAGTTGGGGGTGGACTCTGGAGCTATTGGGTCTCAGCGGGGCTTTCGGAGGCATTTCACCCAGTTGACCTTAACCCTCTGGATCCTTCTTCCTTAAACAAAGGCCATTTCAGAGTGTAGGCTGTCCACATGAATGCCCATTTTCTTATCAATCTGGTGTAGGCTGTAGGATTCCTGTAGCTTGGACTTATGGTCCAGGGAAGGGATGAGAAATTCTCAACACTTCTTCAGTTCTTTCTGCTTACTAAAAGTGTGCACAGACCCAAACCATCAACACCTGAGGGCTTGTTAGACTGTGGAATCTCACTTCCGAACCTAGGTTTAATTAATAAAGCTTTGGAATCACTGATGGGAGAGTTAGGTCAGCTGAAAGGCTGGTGGTAGGCAGAAGCCCCATCACGGTGGCCTGTGGTGGATAGCAGTGGCCTCTGGGGTCCTTGGGGAGTCCTCTGTTACTGAAGGCCAGAGCTGGGGAATCCGGGTGTTGTCGCCTGCCTTTTATTGAGGGCTTGACCCAGCCATTGGTTCCTGTGGCACTGGGCAGACTTGGAGATCGTCCCCATCTGTCCTGTCAGTGAATCCAGCAAGCCCCCTTCCTCTAGACAATGACTTCCGGGAGAATTTGGACTTTACTGGGAGTGTGATGAAAATCCTTCTTTGTGCTTCCAGGTATACCTTGCTAGTGGGCAAGCCACCTTTTGAGACCTCGTGCCTAAAAGAGACCTACCTCCGCATCAAGAAAAACGAATACAGTATTCCCAAGGTGATGACACCACAATGGTTTAATATTCTATGTCTCACCCAAAAGCTATTCACTGAGCCTAGCTGTATCCTGGGGACAGATAAATCAGCCCTGCCTCTAGAGTAGCCATGGAGAATGTATGTCTGAAGGCTGGCCTTGAACTCACTGCATGTTGAGTTTGAACGTCAGATTCTCCTGCCTTTACCTCCCAAGTGCTGAGATTATAGGCATGCAGCACCATGCTGGCTTTATGGTATACTGGGAGCTGAACATGGCTTTGTGCTTATAGACAAGCACTCTGTCGACTGAGCCCCATGCCCAGCTTCCTGAATGGATGTAAAGCACAGGGAGAAAAGGAGGGAATAAGGGCAGACACACTTAAGTTTGGGGCATGGACCAGCTGAGCTGTCTTTAACAGGTGATGACTTGATACTTTTGAACCAGGCTTCCCATCTACAAAGTGGGAGTTTCTCCAAGGGCTTCCAATGACAAAATGACATCTATTTTCACAACCAATGGCATCAATCCATTTGAAGGGATATCCATCCCATTTTTGGGGACTAGGTCCACATCGGACATATGGCCACTTTGAAATCAGTGTCCTTGATTTGTGTATAGGGGAGCTATATCACAGAAAGTCAGCTCACTGCAGACAGCGTGGACTGGCTTGAGCCAGCTGGACTGCTGTGGTATATGCCCTGGCTTTATCACCTATGCCGTGTGTATTCTCAGGCAGGGGCACCTCCTCCTGAGCCTGTTTCTTCATCTACAAGTGAGGTCTAATAGTGGAGTAGTCTTAACATTTGTAAGGCTGAGGCAGGAAGATCAAAAGTCCCAGCCTCAGCTACATAGTGAGTGTTTCAGTTCAAATTATATAGAGAGGGAGGGGGAAAGAGAGAGTCCTTGGGTGTTTTGTGAGGGCCAAATGAATTAATGTACAGGAATACATTCCTGGTACATAAGAAGCATAGAGTTAATGCTTTGACTGACAGGCCTGTGCTAGGTTTTGTCCCATAAAGCAGGTATCCCACCTGGTGGTGTCCCAGATGTGATACTCCTCCCCCATTCTACAGACACACGTTGGTAAGCCCAGAAAGCCCAGGCTATTTGTCATAGCTAGAATCCAACATAGGTCTGGGGACCTGGAGGCCTATGTTCTCCAGTGCCCCTCTGATGGTAAATAAATGTCCTTTGCAAGGTGGGGGGAAATCATCCCAAGTTAATATTGAGTGCCAAGTGGCAGGAAATGATCCTTCCCACAAAGTCGGGTGACATTGGTCCTTGCTAAAGCTGAGTGTGGAGGGCCTGGTGGAACTTATGGCCACTGAGCTGTGACATTATTTGAGACAGGAGCAGCCGCATGTCAGGTGAAGTCCCTGCCTCATCTCACTTAGGCTCTGCCTCTCCTCTCCAGCACATCAATCCTGTGGCTGCCTCCCTCATCCAGAAGATGCTCCAGACAGACCCCACTGCCCGCCCCACCATTCACGAGTTGCTTGATGACGAGTTCTTCACTTCTGGCTATATCCCTGCCCGTCTCCCCATCACCTGCCTCACCATCCCACCAAGGTTTTCAATAGCTCCCAGCAGCCTGGACCCCAACAGCAGGAAGCCTCTCACAGTTCTCAATAAAGGTAAAGCTTGGTCTCAGTAGGTGGAGCCCAGGGAGCCCAGATTTTCAGGGTGCATGCGCCTTACTCTGCCCCCAGAGTTTGGCCCTATCCTTGAGATCCGGTCCCTGGGCTCTTCTGCCCCTTGGCCTTGGCTGGAAAAACAGACTGAGTCAACCCATTGGGCCCAAGAAGGAGAAAATGGACTGAATGAACATGAAGCCCAGGAAATTCTTTTTGATTACCTTTAAAAACCCCTAACATCGCGCTGGGTGGTGGTGGTGGTGGTGCATGCCTTTAATCTCAGCACTCTGGAAGCTGAGGCAGGTGGATCTCTGAGTTTGAGGCCAGCCTGGTCTACAGAGTGAGTTCCAGGACAGTCAGGACTGTTACATAGAGAAACCTTGTCTCCTAAATCCAAAAAAGAAAAAGTTCCTAACGTCTCTTGCATGGTTTTTTGAGAATACTGGAACTTGTCAGGTACATACACAGAGTATAACGTGACACCCATCCTCAGTTCTCATTCTCAGCCACCCTGGTTCACTCTTTGTACATTTCATCCCTTTGAGTGCTTGTGTTTTGTCTGTCAGGAGAAGGTCTCTCACTGTCACCAGGCTGCTCTTGATTCAGTCCTTCTGCTTAGGGCTGTGGATTGCAAGTTTGTCAGGACATCTCACTTTCGAAATGTCACTACAGCCAACTCCAGCAGTCTGCCAGTTTACACTTAAAGTACTTTTGTGAGTTCGAGGCCAGCCTGGTCTACAGAGCTAGTTCCAGAGCTGTTAGAGAAACCCTGTCTGGAAAACAAATAGGAGAAGAATGAACAGGAAGCCTCTGGCCCTCCTTTCCCAGTCTGTTTACATTTCTTTTGAGGTTTGCATCATCAGTCCCCTAAATGTTTCTCTTTCTTGACCGCGTGAGAGGGAGCTTTCCTCTGCTGGTAATGCTTCAGTGTATACTTCTTGAAAACAGACATGACAGACGGCAGCACAACCTTCAGGACTGTGAGCATTAATCTGATCCCATATTGTCTTAACAATTTCTTTTTTTAACACACTTTTTTAAAGATTTACTATGTATATAGTGTTCTGCCTGCATTTAACACACTTTTTTTGTTTGTTTTAACTATTCCTCCTTCCTTTTTGTTTTTTTGAAACGGACTATGAAACCAAGACTGACCTCGGGTTGGAAATCTCCTGTCTCACCGCTCACCCTCACCCCCCACTGCTGGACCTATAGGAGTTTGCCACTGTATTTAGCATTACTTTTTTTTTCTTGCAGTTTTAATTTTCCTTAATATATTTCATTAAGGGTTATAGCTTGAAGGGCTTTGTTTCTCTGTGTGATATATCACCAATTTAATATAAAATTCTCAGTTCATCTGTTTTAATTAGATTTACATTTTTAGGCAAATGACTTGCAATGATTTCGTTTTGGTTTTGGTGCTTGGAGACAAGGCCTCATGTTGTTTAGGCTAGCACTGAACTCACAAATGCTGGGATTGCAGATGTGTTCCTCACCCCTGACTCAATGACTTGGTTTATTTTGGAATAATTTTAGGGCTATACAAAAATGTTAGAAACCAAATAGAGCTGACTTCCCATGTACCCTCCCTCAGCTTCCTCCCCTGTCAGCATCTCTACCATAGAATAATTACCAAAGCTGCAATGTTAACCAGAGATAATCCTGTCAACAAACTCTAGTCCTCACGTCAATCAGATTCCCCATTAACACCACCTTTTCCTTACCAGGATGCAAGTCAGTACCCCACATGACATTTAGTGACCTTGGCTTCTTAGTTTCCTCTAGCCTGGGACAGTGGGCTTTTTCCTTATGTCTCTGGGTTTTCCCTTAAGTCTTGCTAATGAGTATTTCCTCTTGGATTTGTTGCTTCCTCACGATTTAGGAAAGGTTCTGCATTCTGAGTAAGAATGCTACAGGGGGGGATATGCTCTTCTCTGTCAGGGAGACAAGGCTGTCTCTGCTGCAGATACTGTCTCTTTGGTAATTGATAAGTATCTTGTAAGAAGTTGTTTGAAAAGCTATTGCCCACCAATTTTAAAGATTTATTTATTATGTATACAGAAGAGGGTGCCAGATCTCATTACAGATGGTTGTAAGCCACCATGTGGGTGCTGGGAATTGAACTCAGGACCTCTGGAAGAACAGTCGGTGCTCTTAACCTTTGAGCCATCTCTCCAGCCCACCCACCAATTTTAGCACCCACCTATGGGTGTTGGTGTAGCAATTATTACTGTAATTTTTTTTTTTTTTTTAAATTTTTGAGACAGTGTCTCATGTGACCCAGGCTGCTTGGAATTCACAGTAGCCAAGGATGACCTTGAACTTCTGCTCTCCTCTATCTCCTGAGTGCTAGGATTATAGGTGTGGTGGGCCACCATGACAATTTATAAGGAGCTGAGAATCTTAATTCAGGGCTTCACACTAGACAAGCACACTATTAATGGAGTTATCACCGAGCCCCTTTTCTGTTATCCTTTCCTGTAGTGCTGGACTTGTGGAGTCCTATCTTATGGGGGGAGGTGTTAAAATACTGCTATTCTAAGGGGGTTTTGTTTGTTTGTTTGTTTTGTTTTTTAATAAATAGCATCAAAGAAAATATTCTATATTTTCCAAGCTTATCCAAAGGTAGAGAATTGTATAATATGCTAGGTGTTCCTGGGGTGGCCCTCCTCCATTTCCAATAGTTATATTTGGACATATAACTATTGGTATATTGATTTTACGATTCTGCAAACACTCATTTTGTTTTTACTGTGTATGGGTGTTTTGAATGCATATATGTATGTGCACCACATGCATGCCTGGTGACCACAGACACCAGAAGATGGTATTGGATCCCCTGGAAGTGGAGATACAGGTAGTTGTGAGCCTCCATGTGAGTGCTGAGAGCCAAAGCCAGGTTCTTTGCAAGAATAGCCAGTGCTCTTAATGGCTGGGCCATCTCTCCAGCCCCTTTTTGACTAGTTTTAAATTAGATCTTGGATATTTTATTTCGCACTTAAATTCTTAATATAGCATGGTGGGATTTTTGATGTTTTTTAATCGAAAATTTAAGAAATGTCCTGTTTCACGGGAGCACTAACACATGCTGGTTTGGGGAAATGGATCTTTCAAGCATAAGGACAGCAAGAGTGACCAGCATGCCCCCAGCCACCACAGGCCAACTTAATGCTTCAGTGTGTATTTCATTAGACTCAGTTATCTGTAAGCACACAAAGCAAATGGCTACACTGTGCTTCACCCATCCTTCCACCTTCCTGGAAGCACAAGGTGACCTTCATTTGTGACCTTTGCTTGAAATGGTACCTTCAGGCTGCCTCCCTGAGTGACAGCCACAGCTGCTGTCCTGGACGGCTAGGCTGTTAGAGCAGAGGCCTGAGCACCTGCGGTTTTGTGGCCTGTCAGTAAGCACCACAGACCGGACACACAAACCTGGTACTGACTCAGTTTCCCCAGCGGTGATGCCTAATGGCTACTGTGGGAAAAATGCTAGCCGCGTGCCCCTCCCCCAGTTGTGTGCCTAGCCAATGACGGCCCACCTTCTTAGGTGTGGAGAACCCCTTGGCGGACCGTCCCCGGGAAAAGGAGGAACCAGTGGTTCGGGAGACAAACGAGGCCATCGAGTGCCATCTTAGTGACATGCTGCAGCAGCTGACCAGCGTCAATGCCTCCAAGCCCTCAGAGCGAGGGCTGGTGCGGCAAGGTGAGTCCCTCAGGGGCTGCACATCTGGAGAAGGCCGGGTGTCTCAATCTGCAGAGCGCCCATTTCCTATAGATCAAAGTCCAGATGAGTTAGCACGACACCCAAGGCCCTCCCTGGTGTGCCTATTTCTGCCCCATCTCATTTTGTAGGTGACTGATAGGTCACCTCTGCATGGCTGCATCTTTTGTCTCCCTTCTGCCCAGGGAATTAGCCCCTTGGTCCTCAAGAGCCTCAGGCCAGCTCCAGCCTCGGGGCTGTGCCCGCTGTCACCTCCCTGACACCACTGCAGCACCTACCAACCTGACTTAATTCTCCATAGCATTTCTTCCCAACACGTTTGTGTCTTGGCAGTAGGGACTCGCGTGCACTGAGTTGGTTCTAGTGTTGCGGGAGTTGTTGGGTCTGTTCCATTTCCTCACCACTTTAATCTGGGGCACTAGGCTTTCCCAGCCCTGATACTAATGACAGAGCAGCTTAGAGACTGATCACTCTTCATCCCTGTGGTTGGAACGTGGGTCCTTCCAGAAGCCTGGGTTTTTTTTTTTGTTTGTTTGTTTGTTTTTTCCTATCCTCACCTACCACAGTTCCTGGGACATAGTCATGGGGCCCACTTAATGAAGTGGAACTTGGTGTCCTGGGCTGCAATTTTCCATTTGGGTATCTAGGTTTGTGCTGTCAGGCTCCTCCCCAGGCTTCATGGGGGGTGCTCCCTACCCCCCAGCCCTGGGGAAGGCTGCCTAAGAAGACAGGAGAAGGGATTGGCCTAACCAGTGCTCTATTTCTATCCCAGAGGAGGCTGAGGATCCTGCGTGCATCCCCATCTTCTGGGTCAGCAAATGGGTGGACTATTCGGACAAGTATGGACTTGGTAGGTGTCTCCAGAATTTGGGGTGGGCAAGAGATGGTGTGGCCATGGTAGCCTTTGAGTAACCAAGTGAATGATGTCTGTAATTGTGTGTGTGTGTGTCTGTGTTACCAAGAATTGTTAGGGCCTTATGTGTGCAAGCACTCTACTATTGAGCTGTACCCAGGCCTTTGCCCACCTCCTCCTGCCTTTCTGAGACAGCCCTCCCCCTGCCATTAGGGTATCAGCTTTGTGACAACAGTGTGGGGGTGCTCTTTAATGACTCAACACGCCTCATCCTCTACAATGACGGTGACAGCCTCCAGTACATAGAGCGGGATGGCACGGAGTCCTACCTCACTGTGAGCTCCCACCCTAACTCCTTGATGAAGAAGGTAAGAACTGGATGCTGAGGGGTGGTGTGGCAAGGTGTGGGGGCTGCCTCAGGGTCAGGCCCTCATTCTGGAACCCCTACCCCAACTTTCCATCCAGATCACTCTCCTCAAGTATTTCCGCAATTACATGAGTGAACACCTGCTGAAGGCAGGGGCCAACATCACACCCCGGGAAGGTGATGAGCTGGCGCGGCTGCCCTACCTGCGAACATGGTTCCGCACACGCAGCGCCATCATCCTGCACCTCAGCAATGGCACTGTACAGATTAACTTCTTCCAGGTGTGCAGGGACGGGAGGGGCCTGTACTTGGGGTGGCTGGGTGGGGTAGGGGTGCTGCCCCTGTCACCAGTTGGGGTGTCTTCCTCCCCTTTACCTCAGCCTCCGGCACCAGCTGAGCTCATCATGCACTCTCTTCTCTCCTAGGACCACACCAAACTTATCCTGTGCCCGCTGATGGCAGCGGTGACCTACATTGACGAGAAGAGGGACTTTCGCACATACCGCCTAAGCCTTCTGGAAGAATATGGCTGCTGCAAGGAACTGGCTAGCCGGCTACGCTATGCCCGCACCATGGTAGACAAGCTGCTGAGCTCTCGATCTGCTTGCAACCGCCTCAAGGCCTCCTCCTAGGCCTCTGTCCTTCGGACTGGTGCCCCTTCAATCTGCAAGCTCTGTCTCGGCCTGCACTGCCGGGCTCCTGGGGCTGCTGTTCAGTGCCCCTGGCCCTGGGGCCTGGGTGGGAGCAGTGCCCCCCTTTGAAGGGGTTGCTATGTAAGTTATTTTTGTACATGTTTGGGAGTGGGTTTACAGCCTCTTCCCTTGCCTGCCCTCAGCCCATTGTATGGATTGTATGATATTTCTATTGAATTTGGGACTACCGTTTCTTAGCTTTATATACATTAAATATATATACATTCGGTTTTTTATCCTGTATTTCTTGAGGGTGCTCTGACCCCAGAGTATTTCTCTGCTCCAACAGCCTCAGGCTGCTAAACTGCTGCTCATCTTTTCTGACGCTCCTGAGACCAGATTGAGCCACAGGCTTAACTCCTTGGTCCACCTTTGGGGCCCCAGGTTGTCTCAGCTCTTTGTGGCATCTGGCAGGACCTCCTGACATCCAAAGCTGGAGGATAGTATGGCATGAAGAGGCTCTCAGAAGCGCAGGTCCTCATGGCGTGGTGAGTGTGGAGCAGCAGCCTTGGGAAGCGGTGTGTGAAGTACTGGATGAAGCCAGCAGGCAGTTGTCCTAGTGCCTGGTGTACCTCAGTTGGGAGCTCTCTGTAGTGGTGCTTCTGGGGATGGGCAGGACAAAGACCCTGGCTCAGCTATGGCAGGCCATCCCTGATCCATGTCCCACCCAGGCTCTAGAACACACCTTATTCCTCATGGCACGGAGCAGGTCTCGTACTGATGTCCCCTTATATGATCGGAACCTTTTCAGATCTGTGGGCAGAGAAATGGGCTGCAGAGGTGTCCCTACTGGGTCCCTTCCCCTCAGGCCCACCCACGTGTGGCCTCTACCTGTCTGCAGTGATGCCGAGATGTGATTGTGCCAGTTTTCCCGGACCACCTTGTGGCTTCCTGCCTCCAGTGCCATCACAAGCGGTCCCTGCTCGGGCTCCTTCTCCAACCAGTCGCTGACATCCTAGGATCCCACAGAGCTCCTAAGTCTTGTGGACAGCGTCAGAGGCCCCAGGGCCAGGGTTGTGTTATGTGGTTAATGACAAGGGCTATCTCCTCCTGGAAAGTGTATGGCTTCCCTGTGTCCTACCTCCATGCCACCACCCACCTTAAGGGAAGCACTGTTGCCTCTGTTCTATAGGCAGGCAGCCTGCAGCTCAAGTGTGGTCCCTTGCCCAAGGTCACAAACGGAAGGAGAATCTGCACTGATGTTGCAGCATAAATGACTGCAGATGAGAGTAAACTGCACTTCCATATAGGGGAAGCTAAAGCAAATGCAGATGCCGGGGCCAAGGTGATAAGACTGTTTTCCCTTAGCCCCTCCGACTTCCCTTTTCTTGTTCATGACCTGTGATGGTTTGAATGAGAATGGCTTCCCTAGGTTCGTGTATTTGAATATTTGGTTCCCAGTTAGTGGAACAGTTTGGGAAGAATTAGGAGGTGTGGCCTTATTGGAAGAGGTGTGTCACTAGGGACAGGCTTTGAGGTTTCAAAAGCCCACACCAGGCCCAGGGTTCCTTTCTTGGCCTGCAACTTGTGGATTAGATGTGAGCTCTCAGCTACGGCTCCAGCACCATGCTTGCCTGCCACCACAACACCAAGATAATGGACTAACCCTCTGAAACTGTAAGCAAGTCCCCAGTTAAGTGCCTTCTTTATAAGTTGCCTTGGTCATGGTGTCTCCTCACAGCAATAGAACAATAAGACAGGACCCAAACTTGGAGCTTGGGGGGCCCTTCCCAAGATCACCATCTGACCTGGAAGAACTGGAGTTGCTTGGCTCTGCTCCAAAAGAGGGGATGGGCCAGCACCCATCCTGCTGATGGGCGATCCTGGGGCAGCAGGCTCAGCATGGCTTTAACCAAATCCAATGCCACAACCTTGTCTGGAGGTCAGAAAAGGGATGGTTTATAGGCACTCAGCCTCATGTTTCCTTCCTCCCATCCTTGCTGGCCAGGCTCTCCCTTCCTCACCGTGGGTCTCTTCCTCCAGATGAGCCAGACAGGGATCCCCTGAGAGGATGTTGGCCTGGCGGTAGAGACTCTCACCAAAGGGGTGGCTGCCACCAGAAAGCACGTAATAAAACACACAGCCTGCAGAGAAGATATCCACAGCGCTGGTCTGGGGGCCAGAAAGATGGGCGTGAGAAGGAGGAACTGGGCCTTGCTAAAAAACCTTTTGGGCCCTGTAGAGCAGCATGCATATGTGTGTCTGTCTGTGTCTGTATGTCTGAGTGTTGAAAACAGGACTCACAGATGTTTCCTTTGCCTCTGCCAAGCTTCTGGTCCTGATTTTCCCTTCCTGTCAGGAGGTACAGGTAGTGGAACTGAGTGAGGCTGGCCACACACAGACGAGATCAGAGTGAAAACTGGTGACCTAGCATGGGCCTGAGCACTGGTTCTCACCGGGAGACAGGCAAGATGGAAGAGCTGACTTTTACCCTAAGTAAATTTGATAACTTAAGATTTTGTGTGTGTGTGTGTGGAAGGGATTTCCCCAATGTTAAAATGCTGGCTGCTAATGTGAGAACTATACTGTATAGGCAGGTTCCTAACACCAGCGCATCAAGTCCCTGGGCATTTAGGTCTCCAGTCCCCGATCACTTCTTTCTCTTGTCTTTAGGAATGGGTGTGGCTCTTCTGGTGAGCCTTCCATGAACCCAGATGTAGAGTCCTGGGGTCCGAAACTCAACACGGGTCAGGTGCTGCTTTGTCGTTTGTACTGCTGGGATGTTAGTTCCATTTCCCATGTTCTTAACCCCAGGTCTACACTGACACTGCATCTACCTAGCTCTAGGTCAGAACGGGTGAGAGCCAGCATCTCTGTGTAGCTTGAACTCGGGATCCTCCTGCCTCAGCTTCCTCAGTGCTGCCATTGCAGGCCACCATACCCAGCTACCGTACTCGGTGAAGTGTGGTGAAGGTTAAATGTCTAGGCCTGGCATGATGCCTGTAATCCCGGCACTCAGGAGGCTGAAGTGGGAAAGCTGAGAATTCAAGACTGGCCTAGGGCTGGAGAGATGGCCCAGTGGTTAAGAGCACTGGCTACTCTTCCAGAGGACCCGGGTTCAATTCCCAGCACCCACATGGCAGCCCACAACTGTCTGTAATTCCAGTTCCAGGGGATCTGATACCATCACCAATGTACATAAAATAAAGTAAAAAAAAAAAAAAGATGGGCCTAAACTAGGTAGTAAGACCCCATGTCAACAAAGTCATTTTCTGAGTCATGTTTTCTCAACCTGGGTGGCACTGATTCAAAAGAGAAAACTGTCAGAGGGTGGGTGGTGCCCTGTGTACTATGGCATGTTACACTGTGGCATGTTCAGCAGCATCCTTGGCCTCACAGGATGACAGAGGCACTTTTTTTTTCCCCCAAGGCAAGCCAGCCAAAACGCCTCCAGACATTGCCTAATGTCCTCTGAGCTGCAGAATAGTCCCTGATGGAGATTGCCTTGGGGAAGGAGTGGATTATCCCCGGGGAATAGATGAGCAGGCTTGGAGGGGCCTCTTTCAGAGAAGAGCTGGGGCATGGAGGAAGGAGCCCTGTGGCTGGTGGGCAGACTCACAGGGCTGTCTGGGGGCAGCTGCAGGAGCTCTGGGGCCATCCAGCCTTCTGTGCCAGGAATGCCTGAATGGAGACTGAAGCTACAACGGCCTGCAGGTAGCTTCTTGCAGAGGCCAAAGTCGGAGATGACCACTCTGCCTTGGCCCTGGCTGTCACGTCCAGCCATGAGAATGTTGCCTGGTTTCAAGTCACGGTGTACTGCCGGAAGGAAGTGGAGAGTGAATGATTGCCGATGGGGAGGAGCAGGGGGCTAAGGACTGGAAACAAGACATGGTACCTATGTGTAAGGAATGTAGGTGGGCCAGGCCAGACATCATCTGCTGTAGCACCATGGTGGGCTCCAGACCCCAACGGTCCAAGTCTGGGTTCTCCACATACTAAGGTGAGGGAGAGACAAAAAACGTCACTTACAAGCCCAAGGCCACCCGCCCTCCATCCCTTCCTGGGCTCCCATCTCACCTCTTGCAAGGAGGCCTGGCAGAGCTCCAAGGCAATGTAGTGGAACTGGGGGCCACGCTCGGTGCAGAAGTAGCGGAGCACATTGGGGTGCCTGTCCGACTCCTGCAGCAGCTGCACCTCGCGCTGCACCAAGCTGAAGCACTCTCGGAGGAGCCTCTTCACGGCTACTGCCCGTCCCTCAAACTGTCCCCTGAGAGGTGGATCAGGGTTAGGGGTGCAAAGAGCAGGTAAGGGAAAGGGCCGGGATCTCTCCCCAAGTCTGGGAGTCTGGAAGGATGCTTGTCCTTTGGTTGGTGTCAAAAGAGCTGCAAGTGATACAGCGGCAGCCTGGGCTCCCCCTGCCACTCACCGGAAAACAAAAGTGCCGCCTGCCCCACGTCCCAGCACGTCCTTGGGGTTGAAGGAGATCTTCCCCACGACAGTGGGTTGCTCTGCTACAGGGGCGAAGGTATCATTGTCCTCTTAGTGATCTATGCTCACTGCCCACAGTCCTCCTCCCTGCCTTCCTCTGCCAGCCATAGTCCAGACCCACCCTCCACCTTGACCTTTCTCCACCCGTCTGTGCTCAGTGTGCTGCGGTAGCTGAGAGCAAGGACCCAGATGCTAGGCATATGGCTCCAGTGGCTGGTGCTGCTATTGATGTAGCTAGACAAGTGACTCAGCTGATAACGATGCCACTTGTATTGGTGAGGATCAAGTGGATATACAGGAGTGGGATAACGATGTCACCTGTATTGGTGAAGATCAAGTGAATCTATGGGAGTGGGAGTGTTGGCTATGTGATTCCCTTCTGAGCACCTCCTGTCTGTCTGTCTCTTTCTCTTCTCTCTGCATTCTTCCCACCTCTTAACACTTGTAACAGTTCTTTTCATTGAAGTTGAATTGTTTCCAACAAAAGGATGAGTTTGAGTAGACAGATGCATGATGAGAGCGAGCAGTTATAGCAAATAAAGATGATGCTGGGTGTTGCACACCTACAGCATGGCACAGTGCCCTCAGAGCACAGTTATAGCAGATAAAGATGGTGTTGGGTGTTGCAGGGCATGCCTACAGTATAGCATAGTGCCCTCACAAGTCTTGGTGTGCAGTTAAGATGGGTGAGGCTGGGACTGGGGAGATGGCTGAGTCAGTAAAGTGCCTGCCTTGCTATGGGAACCTAGGTTTGATCCCAGCACCCACCTACTGCACATAGTAGTCCATAATTGTAATT